AACCAACACGCTGCACTGCGCCTTTGTGGGCGCCACCAAAGTGGGTGCAAGCATTGAGCAAATTGATACGACTGAGGCACTGCGCCAACCCGGCGTAATAGCCTTCTACAGTGCCAAGGATGTGCCCGGCTCAAATACGTTCACTGACCCGACATTTGGCTACGAACCCGAGGAGATCTTCTGTGCAACACGCGTGCGTTACTACGAACAGCCCGTGGGCCTGGTGGTCGCTCTGAGTGCGGAGCGGGCTCAGCGTGCTGCTAAGCTGGTCAAGATCACCTACAGTCAGTCGCAGTTATTGCGTCCCGTGCTACCCAGCTTAAGCGATGTGCTGGACATGTCGCCGCTGGATTCGTCGCTCATCATCCAAATGGCCAAGCCGAAGCCGGGCAAGTTTCAGTGCAGCGCCGAGCCGGATGTGAGTGTGCGAGGTGTCTTCCAGATGGGACTGCAATATCACTTCACTATGGAGCCACAGACAACGGTCGCCGTGCCGTTTGAAGATGGCCTCAAGATCTACTCGGCCACCCAGTGGATGGATCAAACACAATCGGTGATTGCCCACATGCTTCAGCTGAAAGCGAAGGACGTCCAACTCCAGGTGCGGCGCTTGGGTGGCGGCTATGGCAGCAAAATAACACGTGGCAATCAAGTTGCCTGCGCTGCCTCCTTGGCTGCCCACAAATTGAATCGTCCGGTGAGGTTCATTCAATCCTTGGAATCGATGATGGATGCAAATGGGAAGCGCTGGGCCTGTCGTTCCGATTATCAATTCCATGCGCTTAATTCTGGTAAGATTGTTGGATTGCAGAATGATTTCTACGAGGATGCTGGCTGGAATACCAACGAGAATCCCATCAGCGGACACTCCACATCTACGGCGGCCAACTGCTATGACTTCAACGATGCCAACCATAAGATCAATGGCAATGCTGTCCTTACCGATGCGCCCAGTTCGACATGGTGCCGTGCACCTGGCTCCGTTGAGGGCATTGCCATGATTGAGAATATTGTGGAACATGTGGCGTTTGTGGTTGAACGAGATCCGGCCGAGGTGCGTCTTCTAAACATAGCCAAGGGTAACAAAATGGCAGAGCTGCTGCCACAATTCCTAAAATCGCGCGAATATCGTGCCCGCCGGCAGGAAATCGAGAACCATAATGACAACAATCGCTGGACCAAACGAGGATTGGGTTTGGCAATTATGGACTATCCCATATTCTACTTTGGACAATATGCTGCAACGGTGGCCATTTATCATGTCGATGGCACCGTTGTTGTCACGCATGGAGGCATCGAAATGGGTCAAGGTGAGTTATTCCAATATTACATATTATTCCAATATAATATAATAATCATATTCAAAAATAAAATATTCTCCATTGATTTAAACAGGGTATCCTCTAGTGTTGGGCACCCTGAACTAGCGCAGTATTTGATCTGTGAATTTAAAAAAGTGTTTTGGTCCATTTTCTCCACAGGCATGAACACAAAGGTGGCCCAGGTGGCCGCCTTCACTTTGGGCATCGAGTTGAGCTATATTAAAATTGAGTCGTCGGACACCATAAATGGCGCCAATTCGATGGTCACCGGTGGCGCCGTTGGCAGCGAAAGCCTCTGCTTTGCGGTGCGTAAGGCATGCGAGACGCTCAACAAGCGCCTGCAGCCGATGAAGAAGAAGGGTGTCGGCTGGGAGGAAACGGTGCAAGCGGCATTTGCGGCATCGATCAATCTGATTGCATCGGACCATTACAAGGAAGGCGACATGCAGAACTATCATGTGTATGGCATGGCGTTGACAGAGATCGAGCTGGACGTGCTGACCGGCAGCAATCAGATCCGGCGTGTCGATCTACTGAGGATGCTGGCGAGAGTCTCAGTCCCTATATCGACATTGGTCAGATCGAGGGCGCATTTGTCATGTGTCTGGGCTACTGGCTGAGCGAGCTGTTGATCTACGAGCGACAGACGGGTCGCTTGCTCACGAATCGCACATGGAACTACAAACCGCCAGGCGCAAAGGATATACCCATTGATTTTCGCGTCGAAATGGTGCAGAATCCACAGGCGAGCAGTGCTGGATTTATGCGTTCTAAGGCCACCGGCGAGCCACCCTGTTGCTTGGCCGTCAGCGTAATCTTTGCCCTGCAACAGGCACTGCAATCGGCCAGGAAGGATGCCGGCTTGCCTCGCGAGTGGGTCCGTCTGGGTGCACCCACAACGCCCGAAATATTGCTACTGAATGCCGGGCACGATATTAAATCATTTCGACTTAAATGAGGAGCAATAATGCAATTGAAACTGTTTAAAAAACATGTTTATATCCACGTATATACACACTTATATATTGGACTAGATATTAGTTAATTGATGTTAACTTCAATGAATAAATATTAATGCGGATGTTATCAGACCTATCAGCTTTTATCCATTTACTTATTCTCTTAAAGTTGTAGAATTTTCTTCTTGCTCCAAACTGTTTTTAAAGCTCCTTTTGCAATATTTAAATTATCCTTTTAAATATAAATGGATTCGTGCAAATTGTGTAATAAAAGCTGATAACAGATAGCAAATCACCGGGTGGGTGTCGCCAACAAATACTGTCCAAACTTGCCTTTTAAATTGCGATAGATAAAGCTAGTAACGATGTTTGGTAACTGAAGCTCTTAAAAAACGGTCGATGAAACGTTGAAAATTTTGGGCGAGAGAGTGGGCGTGCCCGAAAACATTATTTGAGAAGGTTCCTAGTAATCTTCCTTCCATGATCGGTAATTTTAGCTCTTAAATTACGAGTTAATTACTAGTGCGATCTTAGCTCTTAAATTGCTTTTATCGTTTTTAAGGGCGAAAAATTTGGTGACTAGCTTTCAAATTGTGTGCGAAATATTGTTTTATCGACTTACTCTAACAGGTGTATCCGTTTAGGGGGCGGAGTGGGCAATTTTTGATCGATCTCATAGGGGAGTTACGAATAACACACTTTTCAAATTTGGTGACTCTAGCTTACAAATTGTGGAAGATATGCGCATTTCAAATTTGTAGGGTCGAAGTTCCTGGGGGCAGCGGGTGCGGGCGAGGTCTAAAAATTGTCAAATATTTCAGAAGATATAACCATTTAAAATTTTTAGGCGTCGACTCCGGGGCGAACATCCCCAACAACCTACCAACAAAATTTGGTGATTTCAGCCTTAAAATTATGGGTGATATGTGGCCTTATCGATTTGCAAATATCGATTTTATTGATTATCTAGCCCCCTAGATGATAGATCTAGTGGACGTAGCATGCAAATTTTTATACTTTGTCCGACGCGGGCACAGACCAATATATGTTCAAAGTTTCGGTCGCGAAATTGCAATATATTTCAATAATAATAAATAAAAATGTCGATTAAAACAAGAAATAATAAGATGAAAGGAAGAGGCGCGCATGTCGAATATCGATGAACCCATATTTGCGAAAAAGGGGACTTAAGGAAGATTTGCAAGCGATGAGAGTATTCAGAAAAATGTTTGATGTATTGGCTTTTTATAAAATAATTTTAGAATTTACTCCGAAATCCGGAACTATTTCATGAAATCTTTCATATGAGCGCCGAAAATTGTAATTACCTGTTTGGATTGTTGGAGGGGTATGACTATGAATCGAAACACCCGATCGCTTTTCAAATAGGTAAATGTACTGATGTATAATTTGTATGCCTGGCGTTCGGAAATCTACAACGCTACGTTGGCTCAACATATTATTTCTATCACAATTACTTTTATTATATTTATTTCGATACCTTTTCTGTTCTCATGTTGTTTTTGGGTAATTTGTCGCTAGCCGCCGCCAACACAAATCAAAGTTGATTATTTTGACCCTGTGGAACAGCTGTTCACAGAATCCACACAAGTTAACAGTGGGTTAACATTGTGGGTTTCAGTATTGCGGTCTCAATACGGAAAAAATGTTGCTGATGATTTTATATCGCTTTATCGATCACTAATTCTAATTTATATTTAATTGATCAACTGGAATATTTCATCACGATCGGATAAAAAATACCTACGCATAAATATGGTAGCGTATGTGTGAGAAAGGGATAGAATGATAATCAACGCACACTTAAATATGTTTGTGTGTATTCTGCAACTCCCGTTATTTAAAGTGAAATTTGGCAATACAACTAGAATATAGTTAATCAGCTTTGTTCAGGGTATATCGTAGTCGAGCTCACGCTTACTTTTTTCTTATATTCTTACATGCTTTATTATCTAATCTCCGAAGCACAATAATCATTTAATGTAAATAGCCAAAAAGAAAAGACAGCGCATATGATAGTTATCATATATATGTATGTATACGTTAAATTTGAAATAGTTTATAATATGCGAGACTTGTTTTACTTGTTGCTTTATTGCTGGAAAGATATATTTTTTTTATGCCTTTCGATATTGTTAAGTTGTTTTGTTGAGTTGTTTATATATTTATAACATCAAACAACATTGTATATATTAGTTATTGCTATCTTTGGGGCAGTGATAATGAAATGCGCTTGCACTCATATTATAAATGCACTCTGTATAAAAATGAATATATATATACGTATACATACATATATATATATATATATATGCATATATGTTCTTGAATGTGTTAGAAATTTTGTTACGAAAAAAAATTGTTACACCAAAAGTAAGTAATTCGTAGATTTAACTTATTAAGTAGAAGCAGAGAAAAATAGAGAGAAAGAGACAGAGAAAGAGAGAGGGTGAGAGAGAGAGAGAGAGAGAGCGAGTCAGAGGCGGAGAGAAAAGCTTAAAAGCTTACTGATTCAATGGCATTCTGCAGAGCGAACGGGAGTGAGAAAGACAAAGAGCGTGTGAGCGTGTGATGAAGCAAGCGATAACGTCAATTAATCGTAGTGATGTAACGTTTCTTGCTCTCACTTGAAATTGACGAACATTCACGAGCGAGTTCGGCTAACATATAAATGCTGTAGCTTATGGGCTCGGACCTCCAGTTTTGCGGAGATCGGCGTGTGAATAGTTGCCACGAATTGTGAAATACGCACATTCCAGAACATTTATTGACTCCAAAACGTAATAGGTGCGCGGTATTAAAAATAGCTTTACGAAAACGAGTGGGTTTGAATTAGTTGAAAAAAAAAAAAACACTGATAATGTCTAGAAGTATAACTATCAACGGTGATTGCCATGCAGGTATGTATGCTTACCAATTACATAAATACATACTTAGGCACAAACAAATTATACGTTAAGAACACTATTTCAAGTGGCTAATTGAGGACAGACTTATATACATACATTTGTACATATGTACATACATACTATCGATGGAAAAAGCCAACTATACTATAATATACTACTTCTGAATATAATAATCTATATTTGTTTAATAATTAACCATGTAGGTGAAACGATGTTTTTTTTTAACTTAAGAAACTATTTGTTATTATCATTTTAGTGGCACTGATACGAATTATAAACATGAAAAACTCACAAAGTTTTAGTGGTTTCACTTTTTATCTACGTTAAATAAGAAATAGTTGAGAATATATTGTGATGATATTTTTAAATATCCACTTAGCCACATTAAAATTCCGTTACTGGCGTTTTATAAGAGCCGTTGATCTATCATAGCGTTGCTGTGGAAATACTGGCGCTCTGTGTTGGTCAACGTTTAACATTTAAGCTGCAGTTTGTTCAACGAAAATAAGGATAATAAAAATTAAAACAAACTAACGGCACTTTAACAGTCCTATAAAACTAAAACAACTAAGAAGTCTAGTTAAACGTGCCTAATATGTATATAAAGATATATATTATTATAGCTAACAACAAATTTTCTTTTAGTGAACCTGGCAACTCTGCCCGCTGACATCAGCCTGAACACTTTTATACGGGAGCATGCCGGTTTAACGGGCACCAAATTCATGTGCCAAGAGGGAGGATGCGGCGTCTGCGTTTGCGCCCTGAGTGGCATAAATCCGGAAACGGGTGAACTATGCACATGGGCGGTCAACTCGTGCCTGACGCTGCTGAACAGCTGTTTGGGTCTGATAGTGACCACATCAGAGGGGTTGGGGAATAAACGGAAGGGCTACCATGCCATACAGGAGCGTCTGGCCAAGATGAATGGCACTCAGTGCGGCTACTGTTCACCGGGAATGGTGATGAATATGTATGCACTGCTCAAGTCCAAGCATGGTCAAGTCACCATGGCTGAGGTGGAGAATGCATTTGGTGGCAACATTTGCCGCTGCACCGGCTATCGACCCATTCTGGATGCCATGAAGTCCTTTGCAGCCGACAGCAATATTGAGGTGCCAGCGGAATGTGTTGCGGACATTGAGGATCTGAGCAGGAAACAGTGCCCAAAAACAGGCGAACTCTGTGCCGGCACCTGCAAGCAAAAACATGGCGTACAGCTCTATGACGACGGCAGTCGGTGGTCCTGGCCACAGACACTGCCGGAGCTCTTCGAAGCACTCCAGGTGGCTGGCAAGGAGCAGCTACCCTATATGCTAGTGGCAGGCAACACGGCGCATGGCATCTACAGGCGTAGTGCAGAGATTAAGGCGTTCATCGATGTTCGCTCCGTTCCGGAGCTGAGAGGTTACAATTTAAAGGATGGCCTTCTCACACTGGGCGGCAATCTGAGTCTCAGCGAGACAATGGATATATGCCGCAAGCTGGAGCAAACTAGCGGATTCGAGTATCTGGCGCAGGTCTGGCAACATTTGGACTGGATTGCCAACGTGCCAGTGCGCAATGTGAGTCAATTAATACTTATCAAGACGAGTGCACTCGTATCTTATCACAATATGTCCACAAGAATCTAACAATTGTATAATCGTATCATTATTCAGGCTGGCACTCTAGCTGGTAACTTGGCCATTAAGCACGCACACCCCGAGTTCCCCTCCGATGTGTACATTGTGCTGGAGGCCTTAAATGCCAAGGTCATCGTTCAAGAGTCGGCGGAAAAGCAGCTAACGTTGACTCTGGACAGCTATTTGAAGCTGCCAATGCTGGGTAAAATCCTTCGTGCAATTCTTCTGCCCGCCTACTCAAAGCAGAATGTACTATTTGATTCGTATAAGGTAAGAATCGAGTTCATTTATTGATCAAATATTTACACCCATTTATCTAAAATGACAGTGCGATGAAATTATAAATTAATTAATTAAAGTATAATTCTTAATAATATACAATATAATTATTGTATATCTACAGCCACGCCGAAATTACTACCTTTTTCAAAGCATTCTTCAATCTTAAATTCGAAATTCTTTCATGTAAAAATATTTTGAAAATATTAATTTTACATTTTTTTTATTTGTGATAACTTACAATTGCAGCTTACAGCTGGCGTTTATAATATGGTTAGCTTTAAGTTAAATAGGAACTATCGCTTTAAATAATTGAGATGTTTGTAATTTGGATAGTTTATCCACAAATTGATTTATGACTTCATATTTTATTTTTCAATTTTGAATGCAGCAGGTTATGTGTGTGTTAATTTGTGGTAACTGTAGTAATAAATTCGACAATCGATCATCTCTATGCTAAATTATCTTCTGCCTACAAATAATAAAGCACCTATAGCTTTAGCATCAATATGCATTAAAAGACAGCATTCATCCTTCTTTTTCAGGCTACAATTTGAATATTGATTATTGTTGGATGGTTTTTATTTAGTTTATTTTAAATGAAGGGTATTTACTATACCTCATACCATAATCAGAAATGTAATCGGCTTTTAGGTTAAGTAGCGAGATAGTTTTCTGTAAGGTATTTGAATCTTGAATATTCTGTTGCCTCCACAGATCATGCCACGTGCCCAGAATGCACATGCCTATGTGAATGCCGCATTTCTGCTGGAACTTGGAGCGGAGTCGCAGGTGAAAAGTGCTCGCATTTGCTTTGGCGGCATTCGTCCGGACTTTGTGCATGCGACGGCCATCGAGGAGCTGCTGCTCGGACGCAATCCCTTCGACAATGCCTGGTTGGAGCAGGCGTTCGCCAAACTATCGACGCTGCTGCAGCCGGATGAGGTGCTTCCGGATGCATCGCCAATCTATCGACGCAAGTTGGCCTGCGGTCTGTTGTACAAGTTTCTGTTGAAGGCAGCCACGGAGAGGAAGAAGGTGAAGGTAAGCAGTCGCCATTTAAGTGGCGGCTCCTTGCTGCAGCGTCCTGTGTCGAGTGGCAAGCAGAGCTACGAAACGCACGAACAGCACTATCCGGTTACGAAGCCAACGGAGAAGCACGAGGGTTTAATACAGTGCTCGGGTGAGGCGACCTATGCCAACGACCTGCCCACCCAGCACAATCAGCTGTGGGCGGCCTTTGTGACGGCGAAGCGAGTGGGCGCCCAGGTTAGCAAGGTGGACCCAACATCGGCGCTGGCCTTGCCCGGCGTGGTGGCTTATGTGGATGCCAATGATATACCGGGACCAAATTCGTTGCGTCCCAAGGCTACGGACGAGCACTTCTTTCCGCAGGAGGAGCAAATCTTTGCCACCGGTGAAATCAAGTTCTACCAACAGCCCATTGGATTGCTGCTGGCGACATCCAACGAGTTGGCTCAACGCGCCGCCGAGCTGGTGGAGCTGACATATGTGGGTGGCGCCGAACAGGTGCTGCCCAGCATGATGCATGTACTGCAGTCGGCAGCTGCTGCATCCAGTGACCGGATTAAGCACACAGTGAAATCAATGCTTGATAAATTGGACTTACAGGAGTCATACGAGATTCAGGGTACGGGCAAATTGGATTTGGGTTTGCAGTATCATAATTTTATGGAGCCGCATACGACGGTGGTGCTACCGTTCGAGGGCGGTGTACAGATGTATGTGGCCACACAGTGGATGGATCTCACTCAGGATGTCGTCGCCAAGGCTCTTAATCTGAGGAGCAATGAGGTGCAGGTGAAGACCCGTCGCATTGGGGGCGGATATGGTGGCAAGGCGACACGCTGCAATCTTGCTGCTGCTGCTGCAGCGGTTGCAGCCCACAAACTGAATCGTCCAGTGAGGTTCGTACAATCGCTGGAATCGATTATGACAACGACAGGCAAGCGTTGGTCCTGCCACTGTGACTATGATTTCTATGCGCAGGCAAATGGTAAAATTGCTGGCCTAAATTGTCGCTTGTATGAGGATGCCGGCTATTTGACCAGTGAATCGCCCATGGGGCATGCGGTGCTTTTGTCAAAGAATTGTTACGAGTTCGGTGATAACTATAAGTTAGATGGCTTTATAGTAGTCTCCGACTCGCCCAGTAATACGGCGTGCCGTGCTCCGGGCTCCGTAGAGGGCATTGCCGTGATTGAGAATATCATTGAGCATATTGCGTTTGCAACGGGCAACGATCCGGCGGATGTGCGCTATGCCAACATCTTGCCGGCGCACAAAATGGGCGAAATGATGCCCCGATTCCTGGAGAACAACAGTTATCGGGAGCGCCGCGCCGAGATCATTGCTCATAATAAGGAGCATCGTTGGCACAAGCGCGGCTTGGGCCTGGCTATCATGGAGTATCAGATTGGATACTTTGGACAGTTTCCGGCCACGGTGAGCATTTATCACAGCGATGGTACCGTTGTCGTCGCCCACGGAGGCATCGAAATGGGTCAAGGTAAGTTTGTACAAAAATCATAAATTGACATTAAAAATATGCTTTGATTGATAAAGCGAAGATTTTCATTTCTTTCCGAAAAGAGGTGAAAATATTATTTAAATGAAAATCAAACTTGTTTGCAATGAGAAAAGCTTTTAACAATTCTTTTTATTTATTAAGCTTCTAAAATACAATTTTAATAGTGCCTTTAATGCAAATTTTCATGTGGTATTTTTGCTAATATTCTAGTTGCCAATTTTTTTGTGTTCTTTATATATCAACTTATAAATATGTATTTGACATTTTCTTTTTTGTTTTTTTTTTTTGTTTTTGGTTTTAGGCATGAACACAAAGATCGCTCAGATTGTGGCTCACACGTTGGGCATTGCCATGGAGCAGGTGCGCATTGAGGCGAGCGAAACGATTAACGGTGCCAATTCGATGGTCACTGGTGGTGCTGTGGGAAGCGAGTCGGTTTGCTTTGCAGTGCGCAAGGCGTGCGAGACACTCAATTCCCGACTGGAGCCGCTCAAGGCGGAGCTGAAGCCGGCGGACTGGCAACAGCTGATCAACGAGGCATATAATCGCAAGATCAACTTGATAGCCAGTGACCAGTGCAAACAGGGCGATATGGAACCGTATTCGGTATGTGGACTGGGCCTCATCGAGGTGGAGCTGGATGTGCTAACTGGCAACTATCTGATTAATCGGGCCGACATCCTGGAGGATACGGGCGAGTGCTTGAATCCTCACGTGGACATTGGCCAGATCGAGGGCGCCTTTTCGATGGGCCTAGGCTACTGGACCAGTGAGCAGATTGTTGTCGATCCGAAAACGGGCGAGTGCCTGACAAACCGCACCTGGAATTATAAGCCGCCGGGTGCGAAAGATATACCCATTGATATGCGCATCGAGATGCTGCCCAAGAGCTCCAACAAGGCTGGCTTCATGCGATCAAAGGGTTAGTTACAATTATCCGTTGCATGCCAGCTTTTTCTACTCTCTCAACAACAAATATGTGTGTCACAGTATTTAGAAAATCGTCAGTTTGCCACTTTTATACCCTTAATCTAAATTAACCTGTCTGTCCGTCTGTCCGTCGGATACGAAAAGAGCCAGAGATCGTTAAGATTAGATGACAGGTACCCTGCCATAATATCATCCGTAAGTACACATATTTTTCTGTGCGTTGGTTTGCATATCTAGGACGTGTGGGACTTATGATAAGGAATGAATTGGGTTCAGTGTATTTTCTCGCTGAGCTCTCTCAAATAGTGCATTCTTACTTCTCACATACAGTTTTATGTTTCTTAGTTTATATATATTCATATTTTTTATTTTTGTATTTGCTTTCTTGCGGCCATTTCAATATTGGTTCGATTTTCATAATTCAAGCGCATATTTGTTGTTTGAGAGTATTAACTGTCCCTCTCTGTCTATTTTGTTAGCTACTGGTGAGCCAGCTATTTGCCTGGGCGTAGCAGTCGCCTTTGCCCTGCAGCAGGCCCTGCAATCTGCCCGAGATGATGCCGCTCTGCCAAAATCGTGGGTGACCCTAAATGCTCCAATGACGCCGGAGTTGCTTGTTCTGCATGCCGGCACCGAACCAGGTCAGCTCAAGCTGTGATAAGACCACATACCTAACTGAACTCAGCTCCCATCCACCGTAATGAAGAGCAATTCAAAAGCAGCGCGTGAGATGCGGCACGTGGCCACAAGAACCCAGTAATGCGAATGCGCCGATAATCACAAGCTATATAAATATATATATATATAATATATATGTATGATATGATATAAGAGATATGTATATATTTATGCATAGAGCACACCTTGCTTTTTGTTTTTAATGCACAATAAATTAGAAACTTATCCAAGTCAAATCCAAATGACATTCATTGCACACTGCTAGAGGGCTGTCCTGAGAGGTCAACGGCTATCTAGCAATTGTCGAAAATATGGGACAGATTGATCTCCCTTAGAAACTTTCAGTCAAAAATCAATTTATTATTTATATTGAGAGCAATGCATATTTATTACTCGGCGTGTAAAATACAGCTTATTAAAATTGTTTATATTAATTTATTTATTCTTTTTTGTTGTTAATGTTTGACACCTTTACAGTCCCCAGCCCTGTTTGCGAGGTATCTCATTAATTTTAAAAACATTTTTGTAAATAAATTGTATGCCATACGAAGCGTTAAATTAATTCAGTGTGACAACGGGTGTTCAACATGTGGGTTGAAACGCAATTAGGGGTAGGGGTAACTGTTTGGTTAATTTGCCAGTTACAATAGGCTTTCTTAGATATTACCAACAGGACATTCAATGAGCAGAATATTAATTGTAATAATTACGGTGCTTTAGCGATGCATTTTTCAATAGGATCATCAGAACATGAGACTTCAGAAAGATCAATTGATTTGGCAGTGGGTCGTCGTATCGGATCTTGATGCCAACAATCCTCAATCAATTTTACTAAAGGCTCACCAAATTTGTGTTTAAGTTCATCATCCAGTAAAGGTCGATTCCCATCGGCAGTAAAACGTAGCATTGCCATCGGCTCGGACTTCCCAAGGTGATCAAAAGGCTTCTTTCGTGACATTACCTCCCAAAGAATAATGCCAAAGCTATAAATATCGCATTTTTCTGTATACATTCTTTGTCCAGTGAAAACCTACGAATGCATGAATCGACTTATTAATATTTTTACTAAATGTTTGTTGAAAATAACTGTATTTGCCTATGTACACCGCAGCTTGTCTTGCATTCCCGTTTTGTAGTCTTAATCTGTTGTTGCCTGCGAGCAACGGTAATTGTAAGTTCCTTATGATGAAGACCTTCTTCGATGCTATGTTTAAGCTATTTTCATGAAGTAAGAGTCAGTCGCTTTTGGTCGCTTGAATCGCGTAGTATAAGTCGCATGAAGCGGACATATGTATATTCTGTATTAAATACAAAGCTCTGAATAAATATAGACCCCAAGTTATAATAGGTTATGGGCCCAGAACACGGAAAATTCAGCTCGTAGAAAATACAGTGAATTGTTCTGAGGATTACTTGTAGAAGGTGAATGAGAGCATTCTGGACTTTCTTGGACAAGTGTGATAACTGTGTGGTTAAAGAAAATGAATACCTCGATGAGTTCGATCGAGAAGTTGGACGACCAGAATTACAGTGCCTGGGTCGTTCAAATGAAAAGCGTACTCGTGTATTCAGAACTATGGCAGTATGTGTGCGGTCATGTCGTGAAGAACGAAAATGACAGTGCTGAGCAAAAGGCAATATTTGATGCAAGAGACGAAAAGGCTCTGGCAAGCATAATGCTTTGCATAAAGGCATCCCAAATAAATAATGTGAAGAATTGCCAAACATCAGCAAGTGCCTGGAACACCCTGAAAGAAATTCATATGCCAATGGGACCTGCGCGTCGTGTAACTTTGCTAAAGCAGTTGTTACAGCTAAGATTGGTAGAGTCGGGTAGTATGGCAGAGCACATACATAAGTTTGCGGACTTAGTAGAAAGACTAAGCGAGATCGGCTTTTTAATGGTCGAAGAGTGTTTGTCTATATTGTTGTTGTCAAGTTTGTCGGATGGATACGAAAATTTCGTGATCGCCATGGAAACTCGTGACACGTTGCCGTCGCTAAGTGTGATAAAAATCAAGTTACTCGAAGAGAGTGAACGGCGTAGAGCAGACGGGCAGACAGAGTCAAACGGAGAGACAAAAATGTTCTCGACGCGTATAGACAATCGAGCAAACAAAAATACAGACGAAAGTAACGGTAAAGTGAATTGTAGAAGTGCGCAGCAGATAAAGCCAACACAGGCCGGCTGCTGGACATGTGGTCGCCGTGGGCACATTGCTGCAAATTGTCGCGCAAAAGACAGCTCCGAAAAAGAGCAAAGCAAGAAAAATAAAGAGAGTAAGAAATCGTACTCAGTGTTTGCAGCGGCAAGTAACCCAAGTAGTAGTAGTTTTACGAAGAACACGTGGTGTCTAGACAGTGTCGCCACAGCGCATTTGTGTAACGACAGATCGTGCTTCATAGAATTAAGAGAGCACAAAGAGAAAATTATTTTAGCTGGAAATAATTACATACAGGCATATAGGAATGAAAGCCCGCATAAAGTGAAAAAATAACACTATTGTTTTGAGCGACCTTCAATGCAACTTTGTGTCAGTATCGAAAGTAGACGAAAAGGGATTCAGGATTCACTGTAAATTTGGGCAAAAGAGAGCGCGCATTGAAAATCGTAGAGGCGATGTGATCTTAGTTGTTAAGGAGCAGCAAGACTTATATTTGTTCAACGCAGATGAGCAAACGTGTTTCAGGGCGCAAGCTAATTTAACAGACATACTGAACTCGCACAAGCGACTTGGTCATTTAAATTTTGTCAGTCTGAATAAAATGATTAAGAAAAATTTAGTGCACGGCTTGAAGGCCAGGCAGTGTTCGGACTTAAAAGAACATGTATGTGAAACATGCGCGAAGTGCAAAATAAGTGTAAAGAGATTTCCAAAGAAATCTGAGACCCGCGCCGTAGGCACACTAGACTTGATACACATTTGTGGCCCAATGAGAAAATGTTCTGTAGGTGGTGCGCGGTATTTTGGCACATTAATTGCGATAGATCGCGGTTTGTGCATGTGTGTTTTATGAAAACTCGCGATGAAAATTTTGAGAAGTTTAAAGAATATAAGGCGTTTGCAGAAAAACAAACTGGACGCAAGATAAAATGTCTCAGAAGCGACAACGGTCGTGAATATTTGAGCGGCGATTTCGAAAAATATTTAGTGAGCAACGGCATCAAGAGGCAGCTTACTGTGCCGTATACACCCCAACAAAATGGTGTAGCGGAGCGCGCGAATCGAACGCTGGTAGAAATGGCACGAAGCATGATTGTGCATGCTGGTCTCAAGGAGGATTTCTGGGCAGAAGCTATAAATACGGCGGCTTATCTGTGAAATCGCTCAGAGACATCTACGCTGGAGGATATGACACCATATGAGTCATAGTCAGGCAAAAACCGTCTGTAAGTCACCTAAAAGTTTTCGGTACAAAGGCTATCGCACTTAACAAGAAGTACAATAAGAAATTCCTACCAAAAGGTGAGGTGAGAGTTCTAGTTGGTTACTCTGCAACAGCTAAGGTATACCGATTGTATAATCCCGATTCACGAGAAGTAATCGAAGCAAGAGATGTGATATTTCTTGAAGGTGAAATGACAGATGACAGAGTAAAGGACAGAATCTCGCTGTGTAATAATGATGTTACACTGATCATGAAGAATGTCGAAGATGAGCCTGTAAGTCTTCATAGTGGCGATCAAACTGAGGATCGCTAGATTTCCGAACGAGATGACGAGGTGCCAAATATATCTACAGATGGAGACATTGGTGACGACGAGGAAATCGAGTCATGCGACGCACCGGGCAAAAGAGGTCCTGGAAGGCCAAAGAAAGTACGCACCGGGCAGCCGGGACGCCCTCGAAAGTTGTACAACAGTTTGAATGTTATGACAACGGATGACGTAGCTGCACCTGCTAGCGTCAATGCAACCTTGAGTTCTGATCATGCCAGTGAATGGAGGGCATCGATGCAGAAGGAGATAGACAGTCTACAAGAAAATAAAACTTGGGAGTTGGTTGATCTACCGAAGGGAGAGAAGGCAATTGGCTGTAAATGGGTTTTAGCAGTGAAGCGTGACGAACATGGCAAAGTAGTACGCTTGAAGTCTCGACTAGTGGCCAAAGGATGCGCCCAACAATATGGCGTAAATTACACTGAGACGTTCTCCCCTGTACCAGATATTCGACAATCAGATTACTGATTAATCTAGCGGTAGAAAATGGTATGTATATGCATCAGATTGACGTCTTCTGCTTATCTCAACAGTGAGCTGCGAGATGTGGTTTATATGCGACAACCAGAGCGGCAGTGCGTGGAACGAGAAACTAAACACCGTGCTAATCAGGATTGGTTTCACTCCCTGCCCTAGCGAGCCATTTTTGGTTGCGTGAAGGAGTGCATATCACAGGAGTTCGACGTAGTCGATAGCGGGCAATTGAAGCATTTCCTAGGAATGGAAATTGATCCTGAAGGTGAAACGGGCTGCGTTACTGTCGGTCATAAGTACTTAATTGAGAAGAAGTAGACAAACTGCGTTCAGAAGTGTTGGAAATAACTGTATTTGCCTATGTACACCGCAGCTTGTCTTGCATTCCCGTTTTGTAGTCTTAGTCTGTTGTTGCCTGCGAGCAACGGTAATTGTAAGTTTCTTATGATCAAGACCTTCTTCGATGCTACGTTTAAGCTATTTTCATGAAGTAAGAGTCAGTCGCTTTTGGTCGCTTGAATCGCGTAGTATAAGTCGCATGAAGCGGACATATATTCTGTATTAAATACAAAGCTCTGAATAAATATAGACCCCAAGTTATAATAATGTTCAACTTTTTAGCTAATACAAATACAAACCTCGGGAGCTGTATAAGAGGGTGTGCCAACAGAATCTGTATTTAATGTCGTCAATTCTTTTACAGTGCCAAAATCACCAATCTTCAAATTTTTGAATTCATCGGTTAATAGTAAGTTTTTAGATTTCAAATCACGATGAATAATGGGTTTACTTCTGCAATTATGCATGTAAGCTATACCCTATAAATGAGAAGGGACACTAAATCATAATTTGTTACAATGTACATGTGCACGAACCAACCTCAACAAGTTGAATCATCCAGTTAATACCATCTGACCTTGTGTATTTACGTTGATCTTCTCCATGCAAGCAGTCGTAGAGAGATTCACACTCTGCATATTCCATGAGTAAATAAAAAGACTGCGAATGCGACGCGGTGGCATATAATTTCACAATATTTTTGTGGCAAAGATCAGAAAGAAACTTGATCTCATTCTTAATTGTTTGAAGGTACTTTTTTGTTTGGGGAGTCATTTTTTTTAATGCAATAGTTCTATTAGACCATTCAGCTCTGTTAACAACGCCGAATGAACCTCGTCCAAGGATCTGTAAACTTAAAATTTAATTATCTCTGAATTAACTTATTTTGTTTTTTTATACCTCACAAATTTGTATATCGTTAAAATCCACATTCTCTGCGTATGCTGGCCTGTGAATAATTAGCATAATATTTTATCATGTCGGATAAGAAAAGAAAATTAATGAAGTCACA